GTTGACAGTTCCCTCCACCTGGCAACCCTCCCACTGGCCCACTTTTATACTTGAAGAACTCCTATTTGTCCCTAAAGCAAGATGATATAATACAAAACACATGGGTTTTGGAGTCACAAAAACCAGGCTCAAATCCTGTGTGCAATTTCCTAGCTCTGTATCCTTAGGCAAGTTCTTCATCTTCATTTAAGCTTCCTATTAATATATGAACTACTTATCTTGCTGAGCTGCTGTGAATTAAATGAGATAAAATATATAAAATTATATGAAGTCCCAGGGGCAACCTATGCACTGAACAAATGCCCTATAAATATGATTCTTAATGCCTCTAAGGAAATGTTATCCCTACTGTGAAATTTTTACTGACTTCTCAAGGAGGAAAGACTTCATCTCTGCCTAATATTCTGAATCCCCACCTTAGTGGTCAGGAAGGCAGACACTGAGAGTTGCTGATGCAATCACCATTCTCCTCTGCCTCCTTATTAACAGAACTATCAATGTTGATTTGGGCAACTATCATCCCATCACTTTAAAAAACAACAACAACAACAACAACAAGGGGCACACTTAGTCATTTAAGCATTGGATGCTTGGTTTAGCTCAGGTCATGATCTCAGGTTTGTGGGATCACCCCACGTCAGGCTCCACACTCAGCAGGAAGTCAGCTTCTCCCTCTGCTCCTCCCCCACACTTTCATGCTCTCACGTGCTCTCTCTCTCTCTCTCTCAAATAAATATCTAAATCTTTAAAAACAAACAAGTAAGCAAACCTGCACTATGTTTCACATCCTTTCTTACAACTAAGGGTTGCACATAGCACAGCTCTGACCAATGAGATATAATCAGAAACCTGCTAAGGGTTTCCTGTAGTGTTTTTGCTGTCCCGGTATGGGAACACATTTTCTTGTCCCCCTTCCCAACTATTTTCTTCCTGCAATACAGAAGTGATAACTTTATCAGAAAGGCATCGGTCCCCTCCCCAATCCCATGTTCCTCCTTTAGATGCCAAGTCAAATCCCTCCCCCAGGTGTATTTGTGCATAAATTTGAAAATTTTTGATAAATCATTATTTGTTTGAATTTTTTGTTACTTGCAGCTAAACTGTAGTAGGATTGACATAAAATGGCTCTGTGATTTTCTGGGTTCATGTGTAAGTGCAGAAAAAAAGATGTGAACAAAGCGCTGTGTTTAGACAAAGAAAGCACCTGCATTTATATTGATTATATGTACTTCTTGAAGTAGTAATGTTCCTATAATTTTGTATTAAGAAAAAAGCTTTCATCTTCCATGCCAAGAGGTCTCATTTAAAAATTTCCATCAATTTCTTACACTCATGGGAGACTATGGAATTCAGGTTCTCATCTGGTCTTTCAACCATAGACAATATCGATTTCCATGCAAATAATTAATCACAGTAGTCTTACATTTTTGTCACTTTCAGATTCCAAAGGTTATTTTTTTGTTGTTTTTAATTCCATGTTACTCCAGTAACCTATTCCAAAGGCATCCCTGAAAGTTTTATCACATGAAACTCCTTCATTTTGAAGATTGCAAGGGCAATTATAAATTAAAGCTAAAAAAAATTTTTTAATTCTCCCACTATAAAAGGGGAAAAACACTCCCTCCCTTTTCTTAAAATATTTACTTTAGAAAACTTGTAGTTATGGATTCTTTCTCTGTCCCTTTGAGATGTATAAATCTTTTAAAAAGCTGAATAAATCTCTTGCCAGTTTTATAATCCAGGAATGTTTTTCTCAAGCACCTGGAAGCCATCTCTTTGAAATGGAATCATCAAGAAGAACGGCTTGAAATGGAATCATCAAGAAGAACCCTCCCCAGTTTCTGTGGGAGGATAGGAGTCTGAACTCCACAGGCGCCTTGCTCTAAGTTGCCTTCTGTCATAAAGATATGAGAAGCTTTTCTTTCAGATAAAGGCAATCAGCCAACACAGGTGGCTACCCCAATTACTAGGTAAATTAAGGAAGAACTGTGACGAATGGCCCTATCAAGTCCTCTTACCTGAGGACTAGTTATTGTTTATGTTGAGAAAACCCTTGTAATGCATTGTTTCTGCAGGGCTACATAAAGGGGTAAAATTTCTTTCTGGTTTTTTTGCAATCTCTTTAACAGATTGCCTGTGGTGCCCTTTAGGTTCTGGCTTAATGATTCTTCAATAATAAAACTGTTTTCTTTCCTCTCTTCCTTTGTGGAGAAGTGTTTTGGACTGGCAGGAGATTTTGTTTTTAGTGCCCCAGAAGATGGCCTCTGTGCCTTTCCATAATCACTGTTCTTCGCTGGCTCTCTCCCTGAAAAGTGACCCCACACTGTGAAAAGTGCAAAGCTTCTCACATTTTATTTTTTTATTTTTTATTTTTAAAGATTTTATTTATTTGACAGAGAGACGCAGCGAAAGCAGGAACACAAGCAGGGGGAGTGGGAGAGGGAGAAGCAGGCTTCCCACAGAGCAGGGAGCCCGATGCGGGGCTCGATCCCAGGACCCTGGGATCATGACCTGAGCCGAAGGCAGACGCTTAAAGACTGAGCCACCCAGGCGCCCTCACGACATTTTATATTAGCTGTGTGAGGATCAATTTCCTCACAAGTACCTTGGAAGTAAGCATGGTACTTAACAGTGTCTTCTCGAGGATTAACAATGTTTTGTGAATTGCCTAGCACAATGGATTAAAGACGAAAAAACTCGAGAGTAGGAACCACAGCTCAGATCAGGTACACTCGAAACTTCTTTTGTGTCCCGGGATATTCTCTATGCAGAGAATATGGAAAGGGCTGTTCCTGCTTTCAAAGAACCCCCTCTCATGGGGAAGGAGGGCCGTTTGCCCGAGCCATCATGCTTGCAAGGCCTGTAAACTGAAGAATCCTCTGCCCTACCACCGCCATTCAGAGCAATCATTTCTTTTTTTTTATTTTATTTTATTATGTTATGTTAATCTCCATACATCACATCATTAGTTTTTGATGTCAGAGCAATCATTTCTAAGAGCACGTTGGCCACACACCATGCTCTGGGAGCTTTCTGAAACATGCCGTTGATGCCAAAGGCCACACTTGGAAACCCTGGGTCGGGCCTGCATCGCTGTTGATAATGTGGTGTCAGCACTAGGTTAGTCCACGAAGGAACACTTGAACCTGAGAAAAGTATATTTCAGCTTTCAGGATCCATTGCTGAATGAAGAATGAAAATCCCTCAAACAGAAAGAGGGCTATTAATTTAGGCCAGGGCAGAGGAGGGAGTAGATGAGCCAGAGACTTGTTAATAACACACGCGATGGCACTTTCTTATCACCCAGTTTCTTTTTATCTCCAAAAGCCAGAATGAAGCTGGAGATTAAAGCAAGACAATTCGTTTCATATTTCTGTAACTTTGGGGTTTAATGAATCCATATTTTTTAGCATCAAGGACCACTATGAGATTTCATTTATTCATCTAGAAATTGTTCTTCTCTAAGCCATGCCTGTATCTCATACAAGATCAGAAACTCAAGGATCAGAAAAATAAAAGCAAAGAAAGAGGCCAAGAAAGAAGAGGTGAAGTACCTACAGGCAGAAGCAGGCGGAGAAATAAAGGGTAAAAGATAATGGCAGAGGATTGTTTGAACGGATAATTATTGTCTACATGAGTCTCTCAGCAGTAGCATCAGTAACATTTGGGGCTAGGGAATTTGGGACAAGGGGCTGTTCTGTGCATCCTAGATAGTTACTAGCATCCTTGGCTTCTACTCAGTAGATGCCAGGGGCAACCCTCTCCCTTCCCTGGTTGTGACAATCAGAAATGTCTCCAGGCATTGCCAGATATCCCCTGGGGATCAATAGTCCTGATTAAAAACTAATGATCTATATGTTAAATTGATAAAGTGGAAATTTTTAGGAGATAGATGATGGATAGAGAGAGAGATGATAGATATTTCAGGTATGATATATATGTGCCCTGAAAGTTTTTGCTCTATCAATTTAACTTATAGACTATTTAACATTCACTTCCTCAGTCCTTCTCATATATATATAAAATATGAAATATATATGAAGTACATATATATATGTATATGAAAAAGACTGAGGAGGTAAATATTTTTCTTTCTACTATTATGATGAATTTCTTATTTCTATAGTGTTCATATGTCCTGAACTATTGTTATATCATTTGACTTTAATAAATTCAACAAATAAGATACATGGAATGTAAAAAATGGAAATTGGTTATATATATTGTAATATTTATGTGTACTTATATGTAATGTATGTATAATTTATATGTAAATGTATATATATAACAAGTCATTCACAACTGAGAAAAGTTTCTCAGTCTGATCATGTCTCAGGTTTCAGTTTGGTCAATATCTCTTACTCATAATATATAAACTATTTCTCTATTCCTCCGCTAAACTAACATTTCCCCATTTTTCACACAAATTATTCTACATATACTCAGAGTTTAAAGAAAAAGTATTCTTTTTTTAAAATATTTTATTTATTTATTTGACAGAGAGAGACACAGCGAGAGAGGGAACACAAGCAGGGGGAGTAGGAGAGGGAGAAGCAGGCTTCCCCGCGGGGCAAGGAGCCCGATGTAAGGCTCGATCCCAGGACCCTGGGATCACGACCTGAGCCGAAGGCACACGCTTAATGACTGAGCCACCCAGGCGCCCCGAGAAAAAGTATTCTTAAATGCTAAGAAGACAATTCCTCTATTATCTTCAGCGCGCGCGCGCGCACACACACACACACACACACACACACACGCACACACACACACACAGTTACGCGCACACATGCAAATACCCTACGGTGTGGGGAAAGTCCCTAAGCCACAAGTAGGTGGAGCTTCCCACTACAAAGCGGAGTGACAGTGCTTAGGAGTGGCTGCTGCCAAATCTATATCATGAAACTGATGGGTTACAGAAACAAGTTAGCTTCAAATTCAAGGTATAGATTTAAAGGGACTTGACCTCAAGGAGTGTCCATACAACAGAAGAGTCAAGAAACATGCAGACACAAATGCGAGTCTTGCTGGGCCTCCTGTGGATACAGATTTGCTGTGAGTTAAGAACATCCCAAAGGGAAACTGAAGAAATTTCACCACAGAATTTGGGAAGAAGCAAGGGAGGGAAGGAGAAGTGGAGGAAGAGAGAGAATACCAGTCTCTTGGGCTGTGTCTTCTACCATGGGGATGGAAGTTAGGAAAAATGTTCTACACTTGGAAACAGCTAGTCATTTTGCGGTGACCCTCACCCGTGCCTATTTTTCTCTTTCTCAACAGGGGTAAGAGTACAGATGAAGGTGGAGCAGAGTCCTAGGGTCCTGATCCTCCAAGAGGGCAGAAATGCCTCTATGATATGCAATTACTCTACCTCCATGACCAGTGTGCAGTGGTTCCAACAAAGCCCTGAAGGACGCTTCACATCCTTGTCGTACATTGCTTCTGGAACGCAGCAAAAAGGAAGACTAAAATTCACCGTCAATATCAAGGAACGTAACAGCCACCTGTATATCACGGACTCCCAGCCTTGGGACTCAGTCACATATTTCTGCGCTGTGGGGGCACAGTGCTCTCCAGACACCTGCAGCCTGTACATGAAGCCATAGCTGAAGACCTAACCCACCCCACAGAGTGGGAGCAAGGGCCCAGTATGATTCAAATTGCATTGCCTTGCATCTCCTGATTCATGGAGAAAGCATTTCTAATGCACCACAACTTGACACTACAGTGCAGGTAGCTGCATGGTTCATCCTGAGATCTCTGTGGGGCTCGTGTTACTAGGTAAATACTACAGACTGATCCACTCTCTCATATCTGATTCTCTTTCTGGACAGGAATAAACAGTCAACTTCAATGTGGAGCAGAGCCTCCCGCTGCATCTCTATGAGCAAGAAAGCACTGATCTAGTCTATATCTCTTCTGCATCCTTCTAGCTTACATCTTTCTAGCATACAACCCTGGAAAAAGCTCCATGATCCTTTTTCTAATATATTTAAATGGGGAATAAAAAGAGGAGAAAAAAAACAAAGGACCATTATTAGTATGAAGGTTGGGCAGAGCTTTCTGCATCCCAGACCAGAGATTCAGCCACCTACTTCCATGCAGTGGACGCATAGAGCCTCCCACCTGAAGCCTGAACCCAGGCGTGTGGCTGCAGTCCCTTCACCCAGCAACGTGGGAGAGATGTTTGCATGCTTTCACTCACTTCTAACATGGTGTGGAGAAGTGCACACGTGATCAATCAAAGTGATTCCACTTTCAAAACACTTGGAAATGCTGATGAATATTCAAGGTAGTGACCATCTCTGTCCTAAACTAAACCATGTCTAACATCCTAATCCCTAAGTCAGGGAACCAGTGAATTAGCAAATCCAGTTAGAAGATGCCTCAAACCCAGTTATAAGGCTTATGTTAAATGGGTATTTTCACCCTGAAAGCTGTTTTTTTTCCACCCTATATTATGCTCATGTATGAAGAGAAATCATAAGAAAGTCAAACCTAAGACATAAGAAAACATCAAAGAAAGAGCAATGCTATGCTCTGTAATCCTTCTCTTGTTTTTTGTTCCAACTTATTACAGTGCATTTAATTGTTCATTCTGTTCATATTCAAGAGTACCTATTTATACCATTTCCCTCTCTGTTATTATTTGGAAAGCCATTGAAAAAAAGCTAATTTCCAATGACAAGTATGCTATATCATCATGGGCGAGTGAGTCACCCTTTTTGTACCTCAGAATCCTCATCTAGGTGAGGACAGTGTTTCCCACTGCCATTACTCATACTTCTATATATTCAATCATTCAGCAAATATTTATTGAATACCTGTGAGATCCTGGATAGGGAGCTTTGACTAAATGAAGAGTTCCTTTCCTCACTGAACATACAGTTTAGTGAGGAGCACATTTTTGTTATCATAAAGTTCCTGTAAACTAAGAGAAGAACTGAATTGGGAGCGAAAAGGATATTATGAAAACACATAGATGTCAGTCAGAGATAGATTTCTGGAGTATGTGACACCCCAGCCTGAAACCTAACAGTTTAATAGGAGTTCATCAGGCTGAAAGATGGAAGCGGGTAGGGGAAAAGTGCTCCAGGTCAAGGAAAAGTGCGGGAGGGGTGTGGGTGTGTGTATGTGTGTGTGTTTGTGTGAAGCAAGATAGATCAAGGCAAATTTAAGTCCTAAAATATAATTTGCAAATGAGAAGACATGGTGCATGGATGACTCTCATGCTATTAGAGACTTAAAATAAACCAGATCCTAGAAATGAGTTGTCTGTATATTATAAGACAGTAAGGTGAAGGATATGGGGAGCACTCAGCATGCCTACATACTCACAGAGCACAGACAGGGATAACTGCATTGAGGACTAATAAAAAGAATTGTGAAACTAATTAATGATAAGAAACATTACTTTTCTAGAGACCCTGATTCCTTTTTAAATGCAGAAAGCATTTCAAATAAGCTGCACAGGATATGATAAATATGATACATTTTGACTATTGAATAAAATGGACAATTGCCTTTAAAAGAGAGGACATATGTGAGAGTGTTATCTTAAGAGAAAAAAGAATTTCTGGTTCTTGCACTATAGCTGATAGTGGAATTATCTTCCAACTGTAAACTACTATAAAATTGGAAAACATATGAAAGAAGTGTTTTCGAGGAGTGCAGACAGTGAACGCTTGCAATCCTTGGGAGAAAGCAAGCCTGCAAAGGGACTCCCAGGTGCACTCAGCATTTCTCTCCTGGGGGTGTTTTCTATACCTCAGCACAAGGACTTGGAGCCCCAGCGGAAAGCAGGAGCCTTGCTGAATGGCGAAAACAGAGATGAGAATCAGGGTTGTTAATATAACTGGGATCAGCGGGAAACCAGTACTGGAGAGAAATGAGCCTCATATAATAGGACTGCAACATCGGTACAGGGGCTTTTCTGAGCCTACACATAAACTGTGCGTGTACAGAGAGAGACATTGGAAAGCCTATAGATTGATCCACTCTCTCATATCTGATAAACATGGAAACAGCATCTGAAGGTCTAAAAGCTCCAAGGAGATTTCAGAGGTTGCGCTAGGCTGGGAAGACATTGGAACTCTGGCCTTTCCAGAGCGAAGAGATCTTGCTCAACACCTTAAACTTTCAATTGAGTCACCAGAATAAGGACTGAATGCTAGGAGTAAGGGCTGTGACCTAAAACAAAAAGAAAATTGAAGAAAAATATCTCTGCCTTAACAGAGATTAAAGTCAACCTCAACAGAATCTAAGTGATCTGCTAGTAATTTAACAAAGTTAACATTTTTTACAGGGAGGCAAAATAATCCAGGGTTTCTGCACATTATTACCCACATTATGTAGCATACAATAAAAAAAAAAAATACTAGAAATGTCATGAAGCAGGAACAAGGGTTACATAATGAATAGGTGCAGACCCAAACTGATTCACATTTGGAGTTGACACACAAAAATTTCAAAATAAATATGAATATATTGTCCAGTACTTTCTCCTGTTGCTGACTCTGTTGACCAACCACTACCATCTATCTGGCAATGGACCCATGGAGATGGTAGCCTCATGGGGCAGTAGCTTCCCTAGATTCTCCATAAACTTCCCCTCAAGTGACACTTCCACATCTAGACATGCTTCGTTCTTAGATTGACTGGTTAGGGATTCCTTCTTTGACTACCCAACTGCTCTTAGACCTTCACTTCCCCAGCTCATGTCACAATTGTGTAAGATCAAGTTCCTGTAATTAGCCCTTATCCCACAGCACTTATGGTAACTCTGCTTCACTGACTGTACCCTGATAACCTAGGCAAGAATATAAATGAATAGAATGAGAATCTTTTTCATTTTTAAGAAATGTGTGTCCAGATACCGAATGGAAGAAATAATAATTAGAAACCTAGTATGTGTGCTTGCTAGAGCCACCATAACAAAATAACCATTATGTTTTCCTCAGTAAGAACTCTTATGTATCATGCCATGTTGTAAGGATGTAGCTACACATTAGTCTTTCAATTTAGACGGCCAGGTATTTAAGATTGAAGATTGTTCCATAATCATCTTTGAAACCTTAAACCGAGCACAGTGCCAGTTACCTCATTGAAACAAAATAAATGTTGATAAAATATATAATTAAATGAATGAATCAGAGAACATTCCTTCACTAGAAAGTTTGAATTATAAGGGTTTAAACTATATAATATGAAACACGGACAACTTATCAGATTGTCCTGAATTGGATAGTTAGTGTGACTTCCCAGAATGTGAGTTTCATTATTATTCAAATAAAATTTTAAAATGTTTTTTTCCAATGCATTGAAAATTATTTTATTTTGTCTTCTGTGTCTTTGCTCAAATCACTTCCAAAAATTATTTTGAGATTTATCATTAGCAGCAATCATTAGTTGCCCTACTGATTAAACATTGAAAGCACAGTAGATTTTTCTTGCCTCTTCCACTGGATTCAACTGGGGAGACATACACTAGATATAGACCAAGAGTGAAGGCAAACAAACATTTGCCTTTTGGCATCTTCTGGTGCCTTTCAAGTTTATGGCTTCTTTCTGTTTATAAACTTTACAGGATTATGTAATGTTTTCTCATTCGACAAAATGATCACAGCTAAGTTCTAAGAGAGACAATCCAATGCAGAGGATGATTTAATACAGAAGATAAATTTTGTTGTGTTGATTTGTGTTTTTAAGAGAAGTGTCAGAATTTATAACAGCGTTAATTGCCTTGTGGCATTTGTTTATTCAGAACAAATATGGACACCTCTGAAGACCATGTTAGAGTGCAATTACATTAAAGGCTAAGCTGTCAAACTCCCTGTGTTTTAAATCTGTAACCATGGTAAAGACAACATCACACCCTGTGTTCTCCCAAAACACCACCACTCTCTTATTTTAACATTTTTATGGTGCAGAGATTGCAAATTGATCTTTAGGAAAGAGAGAAATGCATTTTCAGATTTTTTTCTACATGAGGACTAAAGGGGGCAGTGCTTCCTTTCATAAAGATAAACAGCTAAAAACAAGGCTGCTCACGCGAGAAATAGAAGGCCATGGAAGGAAATGAATGAAGTGCAGGAAGTTGAAGTCAGATTTATGGTTGCTTGGGCAGAAGAGAAGACAACCTGAGTCCACAGGAGAAATGGACAAGCTCCTGGGGGCATTGCTGTTGATTCTGTGGCTTCAGCCAGACTGTGAGTTCTGGGTAGGAGGTCAGAATATAGTAGAAAACCTCCACAAGGCACCACAAGGCACCACAAGGCTGGGAGATGGGATAATTGGGAACTTGTGGTTTATTTTGTTTTGTGTTCTGGCTCATGATGTTTTTCTGTGGGGACTTTCAGAATAAAATTTAAAATCTGTTATTCTCTTTCCTAACAGGGGTAAATAGTCAACAGAAGGGTGACCAGCTGCAGGTCAAGCAAACTCCATCCCTGAATGTGCAAGAAGGAAAAACTTCTATTCTGAACTGTGACTACAATAATGATTTGTTTGATTACTTCCCATGGTATAAAAAATATCCTGCTAAAAATCCCGAATTCCTGATATCAATACTCTCAGTTACGCATAAAAATGAAGATGGAAGATTCACAGTATTCCTCAACAAAAGTGCCAAACACCTGTCCCTGCACATTGCAGGCTCCCAGCCTGGAGACTCAGCCTTGTATCTCTGTGCAGCAAGTGCACAGTGCTCTCCGGGCACCTGCAGCCTATACCCCAACCTGCAGCTGGGTCCTTGCCTCTTTGGGGTCTCTACTGGGAGGCACGTACTTGCTTCCATTTACACACATCAGTAAGAGAGGGTATGCTTTAAAGTAGGTGAGTAGGATGAGCTTTAAGGAAGACTAGATACATAGCAAGTCCTACAAATGAGTTAAGGACATTCCTTGGGTTTTAGGGTGTCAAAAAGTCTAATCATTCTCCATTTTCACTTACAGAGAGAGGGTACTGTTTAGCTAAAGCATGTTTTGATCCCACTAGATCCTGGAATGAAGTTTCCCCTGTATCTTAGGGGAAAAGATACATTTGATATGGGGAAACCAGGGTCCTACTGCAAGTTCTCCCAGTGAATGTTTGTGTGCCTTTAAGTACTAGCAATTATGTACTTCATTTTTGTGTCAAATGAACAAAATAATCCTTAACCATAACTTCTGGATAATTGTACCTTTACATTAAATGCATTTGAGGATGTACATGTTATAAATCATAGTCATTTATTTGTTTCATCACTCACAAGATACTTAGAGGCATTGCTTCAGTAAGTCACTTACTGTGCTTTCTTTTCCCAAGGAAGACATTGAACTATTTGACACACTGTCCATCAGTAAAAGGTGCTGCCCTGTGGATCATCATAATAAATACAGGCATGTCATGAAGATTGTCAGCTGCAAGGATTTTGTTTTGGGTAGCCATCCTAATTCCCAGATGAGATGGATATATCACATTTGAGCGTTTAGGATGCAGTTCAAAGTGTGAAGAACCAGACCAAGATCATTCGTTGTTTTTTTTTAAGATTTTACTTATTTATTTGTCAGAGAAGAGAGCACAAGCAAGGGGAGCAGCAGGCAGAGCAGGCAGAGGGAGAAGTAGGTTCCCCGCTGAGCAGGGAGCCTGATATGGGGCTCGATCCCGGGACCCTGGAATCATGACCTGAGCCGAAGGCAGACGCTTAACCGATTGAGCCACACAGGCATCCCAAAGGTCACTCTAAGAACTTAGAAGATGTAAGAAATATCCCAAATATCCCAAATGTTTATTAATCAGGAGTCTCCAGTAGGTTGTCAGTTAATCAAAACTACAAGCAGTTTGTGGCTTCAGACTTAAGTGATCTAAATGGCCCAAGTTACTTACCTGGGATTCCCCTTTCTGACAAATAAGTGGTAATGAAATGAGCATCATAGCTAATAAAAAATATCCTGATGTTTTATATTCTAACTTCCCCACTGTCAATTTGTATGACCTTGGCAATTTTATTAATCACTCAGTTTCCAGTGAAATACAGGTTAGAACTAGATGATACTACTTCCTTGCAGCCCAATGAGTATATGATTCCACTCACCTCAAATGTTTCCTGACCACTGGTTTTATGCTTTTCACTTATGTGATGAATAGAAGGAAATTAGTCAACCTGAATTTCTATGAAAAAAAATTTCTTCTTCATGCCTTGAATTCTCAGTCCCTTAAATGTAGAATTTCAAGCTGAAAAGAGAAAAAAGATGCCAGCTATTAGAAAGAAAAAGAGAAATAGGATGAGAAACCCATGGTTCTCTTGAGAAAACAAGAGATTACTTGTGTACATAATGTATGTGTAGTGTGATGTGTGTGTGTGTGTGTGTGTGTCTGTGTGTGGTAATATTTGCAAAGGAACTTTCTCCTGATTCTTCTTCACCAAAAAGCTAAAGGCATTCCTGAAATACCTTTCTAAGAATAAAATCCTGTGGCCATCCAAAGTGGTCCCTGAGTTAGGAAGTTGTATTACACAGGAGACAATTTCAATAGTCATTCCATTTTGGATGGGCTCAGAGATTCCAGATCTCTGGAACCATGAGACATCCAACCATGGAGTCAATACAGAGCTCACTAGAGAGCTTACCTACTCTATTGTAATGCAACATATACTTATCTTCTCAAAGCCACACCACAGACTCTTCAATTAAATACTCACATCTCCTGCTATATCTGTAAGTGATTATTACAATAATGGTGCATAATTCTAAAACTCAAAGGCTTAAAAAAGCAAAATATTTCACTCATTAATTTGTGAATTGACAATTTAGACTGGGCACAGATGAACACTTCTGGGCTTGGCTGAGCTCACTGATATGTCTGAAGATCAACTGGCTATTGGCTGGTCTAGAACAGCCTTGTCTAGGATAACTAAGACTATTCAACTCTTTTCCACCTGCCTTATCCTCCAGCAGCCTAGGTCAGGCATATTTCCATGGCAATCATGGGGGAGCAAGACTTGAAATATGAAAGCATCTTTTAAACCTTTACTTCCATCACAACTTGCAATACCAAATTGGCCAAAGCAAGTCTCAGATTCCCACCATACCAAATGACTATATATTGTACATATATATTGTGCATATGTATATTCTACAACAGCAGGGGCTGGCTGGGGAAAAATATATATAACATGATAGAATATTATATATTATTTTACATAGCACATACTATTCATCTATATATGTATTTTAATATTTATTATGTGCTGTATATTATTAATTCAATTTGTTAACATTTATTTTTTATTTTTTCCCCAAACTCTCCCTATTTCTCTTACTGCTCAGCTCCTCACAACCACTTTTCTACACCTTTCTATAAGTTCAACTTTTTAAAAAAGATTTCACATATAAGTGATACTGTGCAGTTCATTTAAATTTCAAAAAATATAGAAATATGGATAATCAGTCTAGTTATTGTATATTCCTTTTCTCAACAAAACTATTTCTAACATCCTAAGTCAATAAATCAAATACCTTTTCTTATCTTCAGTTAGATTTTACATGATTTATAAATTATTCAAACTTAGTTATAAAGTTCCATTACAATGGACATTTTTCACTCTGCTTGCCATTTATATTTACCCTATTTCATGTCTATATATGAGGGAGGCTTTAACGTGGGAATGGATTGATGCCTTTTCTACATTCTTGAGACTACACAAAACGTCATACCAAAAAGGGAATGCTATATACAATCTCATCCCTATTATTTTTGTTCAAGCTCTTTATGCTACAATGTTCACATTTTATTCATTCCCACACTCATCAATCTATATGCTTTTCTTACTTGATATGCTTGAGAAGTGACATTGATAAAGTTACTTTCTACCATTAACCTAGCCATGAGCGTGCCAGGTCATCTTGAACAAGTGATCAACTTCTTAGCATCTTATATCAGGACTTCATGTGTAATGCAAGGTCAATAATTTCCAGCTAACATGGCTCTCAGATTTTATTCATTCAATCAATCAACAATTGCTCACTGAGTACCTGCTAAATTCTACCTACATGTTACATGCTGGGAAAAAAAGAGCTATGAGAAAGCACACAGAATCTTCTCTCACTGAATTTGTACTCTAAAATGAGTCAAGGACTAAGCTTAGGAAAGCAAAGGGTGATCTGAAGGCACAAAGAGTCCCACCCCCACCCAGCCTTAGTAGTGAGTCAAAGACAGTGTAGAGTCTGTGATGTGATGTCTAAGCTGAGACCTGAAGTTTAGTAGGAGTTAATCAGGTTGAAGAACAGAAGAGGTGGGGGAAGTGATCTTAAAAGTAGGAACAGAACAGGAGCGCCTGGGTGGCTCAGTCAGTTAAGTGTCTGCCTTCGGCTCAGGTCATGATCGATCCCAGGGTCCTGGGGTCCTGGGATCAAGCCCCGTGGGCTCCCCACCCAGTGGGGAGTCTGCTTGTCCCTCTCCCTCTGCTCCCTGCTCCCCCTTACCTGCATACAAGACAGTAAAGATCATAGTGAATTTTAGGACTGAAAGCCAAGGTTATGTCATGAATAAAAGTATATATTTATTTATTTATATTTCTCAAACTAACACTGCAAAGTTGCCATACTCTCAATTTTACAAATGAGCAATCATATTCTTTGTGAAGTTGCTAATTGTGTTCTCTATTTTCTTGAGATTCTTCTAATTGTTCGTATACTGGACACCTGATATGTACCTTAGACTCGAACACAGGAGATGCATTCAAAAAGAAATAGGCATTGTGTCTGCCTTCAGGAAACATGTAATATTGTGGAGTGTATTACAAAATAGTGTGATCAAAGCTATCATAGGAGGGGCACCTGGGTGGCTCAGTCGTTAAGCATCTGCCTTTGGCTCAGGTCATGATCTCAGGGTCCTGGGATCAAGCCCCGCATCTGGCTCCCTGCTCCACGGGAAGCCTGCTTCTCCCTCTCCC